AATCAATTTAGATTTTGTAGAACTTAAGTCTAATATATAACAATTATTAATATTCATAAGCTTTTTTATTTAGATTTGAGTCTAACATTTTTTAAGTTCACTTATTAGATAACTTAAAAAATATTTTATTTGAATATAGTTTATTCAATAATTAAATTTATATTTAAAATAAATAAAATAATATAGCTCACGTATTGTCTAATCTCATGATATTTGTCAAATGTTTCGATCTTTTATATGTAAGCAAGAAACAAAAGAATTCAGTGAGTTTCAAGTTTCAACACAATATTTAGAAACATCATTTCAATGTTCAAACACTGTGTGTTAAAACTCAATAATATAAAATATGTAAAAATATTTTCAACCATAATAGATGTCTCAATAACTCAATTCACATCGTGGTCCTCATTATTCATCTTTTTTTTGGATTGTTTTTCATGGTAAATTAGTTGGTAATAACCATAAAATTAAATGTATAATTACTGTGGTAGATAGTACTTAATGATTCTATCAAATTTTTGGGACCTCGGTGCATTTTTTGGCCATTCAACTGAAAAAGTTCTGAAGTCATAATTATCATTTCACAACCATTGTTGTGGCTGAATTAGTTTTTAATTAATTTAGATTATGATGGCAATGTATTGCCCAAACATACTTTTTGGATAAATGTGATATATAGTCAATAATAGAATTTCTTGAGATGATGTTTGAAAAAAAAATTATATAAAATAAATATATTTCGGATATTATCTTTATAATTAAAGTTTTAGTTTTACAAAATAAAGTTCAAATAAAAAATAAGAATGAATGTAAAATGATCTTTAATACACTTTAATTTATTAAAAAAAAATTTAAATCTTTTTAAAAAAAAATAATTTTACATTCATATATGACAAGTTTTGAAAAATAAAAAGTACATTTTACCTCAAATTAATCAATACTTAGGTGGGTCACTGAATCATTCTGTTTTCATGACTTTGCATGCTTTTCTTTCTCTCTGTTTTTTATCCCTATAATGGCACCCTCTCCTTTAATTTGTCACGGGAAATGATATTGAATACGATTTGATTTGAAAGAGAGGATATAATAATACTATAAATACTTTTATGTTTTTTATCTAATTTTGTAAGTAATTTAATTTGGCTAAGGTTCTGTCTAACATCACTCCTTAGCTATCATCAAGTACTATAACATTGTTTTCATGCACTACACATATTCTCATTGAATCTCATTCTTTTCTATGAAATTCAAATTATTATTTATTATAAAATAATCCCAAATATTCAAGAATGATATGGTAAAAAAAATTCTTTTAACATAATTAAAAATATTGAATTCGAACTCAACTCTCAGCACGCAATCAGCGTATTGTGATTTTTCTCATTCGTATAATTAGTCTATGCAGTTATACACGAAAGATACACGTTGTTTATACAATTGTTTTGCACAAGAGCCAAATAAGTGAAATGACAGAACTTCACTATGAAAAACCCTAACATTCTAAGCAAGATTCTTAAATTCCACTGAGGAAATGAGCCTCTTTTTTTAAACAAAAAAACAAGAAACTTAGTAAAGGACAAAAAAGCTTTATCTGTGTACAGTATAAGTAAAAAATAATTAAAGGCATTGATAAAAATTAATGTAGAAATTTTTTTGAACAGGAACAGAAACACTCTTGGTCCCCTACATTTCAGAATCTCCTATGCATTGGGTATTTCTAGCCTACAAAGGAAAAATCAAATACTCTTTTCACCACCAATTTTTCCCAATTAAATATTTTAAACTTTTTTCACTTTGGTAAAACTTTATGCACATTTAATTTGATCCTCTGTAAAATCTTTTCCCATATCATGACAAACTTTCCTCTCAATTCACAGTTACTTCCCACTAACATTATTTCCCTTTCCTTTACTATTTTTTTCTATTTTTTTAATACTTTTTTGCTTTTTATGTAAATTTGACTCAGAGCACAGAACTTCATGCATTTAATACTACTACTAACTAATTTTAAAATTTTAAATAATATTAAAAGATATTTAATCATTTTATTCAATACAGTATATTATAATATTTCTGTAAAAAATTTAATTAATTAATAAATAAATTAATATAGTGTTTTTCGGTGGGTAGTGATTTTGCAGAATATAGTAAAAAATTAATTATGGTGCATGATTTTTTTTTTTTGGAGAATTATTTATGCAGCATGCCATGAATTATTATTATTATTATTATTATTATTATTCCTCTCTTTTCCCTACCAATTTTATTTTTGGTGACTTTTCCCCCACCAAAATGAACAAAGTATCAGTGTAAGATTTTGCTGCATTCAATTTTCGTCTCTCACTTTCTTTACTGACGTTAGCATTGGGAACCCACCTCACTAAAATAATGTAGTTTTTGTTAGCTCTCATTAATTATACTAACATAATGTAAGTAATTCCAATATAAAATTGTGTGTCAATTTTTAGTTTATAACATAGTTTTAATTATTTATTTTTCTATTATTTAAATATTGTATCACTTTAAACTATTGATTGGTATTTATGATAATAGAAATTCATTTTTGTTAAATGAATGGTAAAGGTAAAATCATCATTATCATTCTTTTAATATTATGGAACGGAATAATGAAATTACTAATAATATCTACGATAAATGTATAGAGCACTAGTTTCATTATGATATGTGTTAGGTCGTGTTATAGGACATGAAAAATTTGAAAAGTTGTTAGATTTACATGCGAGTGAAAATAGACACAATTACAAATAACATTTTTTTTAATATTGACTGCGAATTGCATTTAACTTCAACTACAGAGCTAAGATAATGAACGGCAATATGAAAAACAGTCACTTTTCATCTCGGTGTTTTAAAAATTGAGGTTAGAAATTATTGAGTCCTGGGTTCGATTTTCAGCATCAGCATTTTTATAATTTTCAGAACTGAATGGTGTGCCCAATAATAAAACTCGGTGTCATGTAGAATCAAGGTACTATCTCAATGTTATTACCTCGGTTTTCACCTGTAATACATAATAATATTCCTGAATATATATAATCATATTTCATTTGTAATACGGAACCATATTCCTTAATATATATAACAACATTTGAAACTAATTAGGTCAATCAACAACAACTTTAAATATATAATACAATGATTTAAAAGGAGTAAAATGATTAATTATAAATTTCAAAGGTATATAAAACATGTACTTAGTTTTTCCATATCCACTCTTCATGATCACGACGAATAGCATGCACATCATCTGAATCATTTTTTTTAGATGTTTGATTTCCATCAATACTATCGGAAAGATGTTTACTTTGAAGAACAATTGATCATCTAGTGTTAGAAGGATCAGTGACATAAAAAACTTGTTTAGAAATGAAAAATCACATTTAGAAAGATATGCACTCCGAGTAATTTTACATTAAACTTATGCATATGTGACAACCATTTGCAAAGATCCTTCATTCAAGAAACAAGAATTTTGATTAGAAAAACAAGAACAACCTTTGCTCTTACCAAAAGAGAGAAACGACAATAATGATTGAAATTTTTCTTTATTTCTCAAGACGATCACAAATCATTCAAGAATATTAACCATTAGAAGTAATCACTGCAAATATTAAATCATCATATATTTCATCTTTAACCTCTTATATAAATGCACACTTTCATATAATGAATTTTCTCATCTTCAAATTATTCTTCTTAACTTCGTATACTAACATGAGTTCTCCATCTGAGAAGGCTAAGAGAATTATCTCAACAAAAGTCATTATTAAGAACAAAACTATCACCATAGTACAACACTATCAGCATTCAACTGAGGAGATACAACCATCTGGGTCGAATGCTATCATGGATGCATTGAGGGTGAGGATGATCAAGAAGAAGAAGAGAAAAGTGTCGAGGAAGATTGTTTGCTATGACTCAGATGAGGATAGTGAGGAGAGAGTCATAGATTGAAAAGATTCTTATAGTGCTAGATGATATTGTTTCGATCTGGAATAAATTATATAATGAAAAAATTATGTTCTATGTACTTTTTCCTTGTGGGTCTCTTTGTAGAAGTTCTTTATTATTGTTTTATGTACTCTTCCCTTTTGATCAATGAAAAAATGAAAACAAAAAAATAGTACACAACCAACAAAAATAAAGCTTCTCAACAACAACAACAACAGTAATGAAGAATAACAATAACAACATTAATTAACCAAAGCAACAACAAGAAAAACAACAATAATAACATACAAGAGAATAATGGTGAGAGAGTTTTTTTCGTTCGCTATGACTCTTTGGAGAATAAGTGTTTTTTCATTTGTTGGAGAAGAAGTGTTCTTACGCCATTTGTTTAATTTTTGTATAATTTTTATAAGGTGTCATATAATTTTTTTGTATGTATTTCATTTGTTTCAACATCAATTTCATTTTATCATCTTAATTTTTATTATATTATATGATATATACTGTATCAAATATATTATTTATTAGTATTTTAATAATATTAATAAAAATATAATTTATAATTTCAATATTCAAAAACCAATTCAAACTAAATTGTATGATATTATATCGGATCAAATCGAATTTTTTTAGTTAACTATCTAAAATTAAATCGAACCACACATATATTCATCTTTAAATCAGATGAACTTTTACTTAAAAATCGATCAAACTCTAACCGCGAACATCTCAATTAAATAGAAATTTCAGTATTGAAATAATATAATTTAAAAATAAAAATAGTAAGTAGTAGAATACATAAAATAAAAAATGGTGGGGCTTTCAATGCAAAGGAGAACCAGGTGACACACACTGCCACACACACATGACACACCCATCTGTTACCCTTTTTTTTCCTTCCAATCAAATCCTTTATAAATACTCTTCTCACCCTTCCTTTCTTTATTCACTTTCTCACTAATTTCACTGCCCACACTTTCTTTTCTCTCTCTTTTCCCCTTAACCAAACAACAATTTCTCTCTTCTCTATGGCTTCTTCTTCTTCTATGGAAACTCCACAACCTCAGCCACAACCACAACCTCCTCTCTACTTCGATGAAAAATGGAAGCTCTCAAAGAAAGAAGCATCAACCAGAAGCCGATCTTCATCGTCCTCTTTCATCAAGAACACTTCCACACAAAGAAAGTGCGCTTTCGCTAGAAAATGTGCCAGACTTGTCAAAGAACAACGAGCACGTTTCTACATCATGAGGCGTTGCGTCACCATGCTTATTTGCTGGCGCGATTACAGTGATTCATGAAGAAAAAAAAGCCAAAAGAAAGAGCTTCAAAAAGTTCTCTGTTTTTCTTTTAGATCTTTTGGTTTTTTTCTTTATTAGCGAAATTGTATTAAAGTTTCTCTTATGAATCTTCTTCATACATGTATATAAAATATTAGGTAGGAGTTTTCAATTTCAATGTTTTCTATGTAGCCTTTTATGGGTATTTTGAAATAGAAGAAATTATGTTAGAACTTTAAAACTGAGAAATTGACATGGTTTAAGGTATTCTGGAATAGTTGAATTTTTTTGCAATTGTTGATGTTGTTGTTTGTTTGTTGGTAACTTTGGGATTGAGGAAGTGATTTTGAGATCTAGAAAATTTTCTGAGATTCCATTCAAAGTTCTGCAGCTGAAATGAGGTAAGATAGACTCTGTTCTGTACTACTGTGTGTAGATCTAAATGGGCTTAGGATGACGCAAACATTGGTGTTTTTTTAATATATTTATTTTTCTGCAATTGTTATTTTAATCACAATAATTAAATGATGGGAAGTTGTGAACTAATTTTGTTTTTGGATTATTTATTGATTTGTATAACTTGTGTAAGAGTAGTGATAAAATAATAGTAGTAGTTCTATGTTTTTTTTAATAAGCAAGTTCTATGTTTTTAATTACACAACAAGAAGTTCATAAATGCAATTCTTTTGCATTACTGAGAACAGTGTTTTAAAAATCGGACCAGTCATCTAACCAGTGAGAATATTGAGTTATTGGTTTATTGGTCGAATTATTGGGTCACTGGTCGAACCGCATGATTAAACCGGATTAAACCGGATAACTCGGTTGAATAGCCCTGTCATTATATAAATATAAAACCGATCAAAACAAATGATTTAGTTTTTAAAAAAATATAACTAGTACTTAAATTTTTTAAAAATATTATATCATAAATTCACAAGTTCATAATTTAAATTCAAATTTTAAACAAATGTATTACACATAACAAAATAATACAAAATTATAAAATAATTGCAACATAATCTAATTTTAAACAATTTTTTTTTAATTTTTTTAATTTTTGTATTTAAATTTTAATTAAAAAATAAAAAATGCATTAGAACCGGTCCAATCCTAAATCCGATTTTTTCCGGTCCAACCTAATTTTTTCCGATTTTTACCGGTTTGATGACACAGACGGTCGAACTAGTAAATCAGACTGGTTACTAAATTGGTTCTCAGTCCGACCGGCCGATCCGGTCCGATTTTTAAAGTCATGTTTTAAGAAGTCTACAAAAATAGATGATTTATTTAATTATGATTTAATTTATTAAGTATTTTATGTGACTTCATTTAATTATAGTTGAATTTTAAAAAAATTTAGAATTTGTATGGTAGCTTTAAATGATAGCTTGTCTTGTACGTCTTTAAAAACGACATTGTAGATACACATCAGACTTTTTTAGTTTTAACACATTTTTATTTAAAAATTTATTATCATTTCCATTTAAAAATTTATTATCATTTCCACGTAACCGCAGAGATTGGTCTCTCTAATCGTAAATAATCATAATGGATAATGATTAAAAAAATTTAACATTGCAGTGTGTTTATGTGAATTCAAATTTAATAATTTGAACGCAATTATTAAAGGAGAACAAGTCTAAATTGTATAATTTTGGGTATTACTAAGAAATTAACTGTTGTTTAAATGTAATTTGCGTTGAATTTGATAGAAAAAATTACGGTTTGATATCTACATATATGATTAAGAGATAGTTGAAATTATATTAAAATTTACTCCAAAATTAAATTAATAAGTTTAATCGACCGATAATTAATCGTATAAACTAAGAGAAAAAAATAATTTTATAGAGGCGCTACTCACAGTGATGTGCTGACTGAGACGCCGGTGGCTCAAGTATGGCCGATGGTGGTGTTTTAGGAACGGCTGTTCATACATTTTTTATTTATTTAATGGCAATTTGCAATGTGAATTACTAAACTACCCTGTACTTGCTAGTTTGAGAATAGTTCTTTGACCATTTATGGACCACTTTGACCCTATAATCTTCTACAAGGGCATTTTGGGTATTTCATTCTTCAATTCATTGTCAATTTTGTTTTGATTTAAGTACATGTTTGAAAAACATCCAAATCACTAAAGAGATAATTGTGGTGGATTATAAGTTTCATATTGAAGGTTATAAATATTACAATAAAAGAAATGAAATTACGGTAAATTCAACAAAATTACCGTATCATACTCTTTCGTTGTTTTGTTAAATTTACCTAAAACCCAAAATGAAATACTTCACAATGAGCTATGTTAAACCTTGTTTAATTGGAAATTTGTCATCATAATTATTTTTCTAAATCCACCTATCTAATAAAATTATGCACACATAGAAGTTAAAGAGAGAAAGCATATATAATTTGTGCACATTGTACTTCACTTTTATATTGACTTATTAATGTGTATACTTATGGTTATGATCACATGATGGTTATAAATAATACTAGTTGAGCTTATAAACTCTAAGAAGGTTCAACGGTCTATCCAACTTATATAATAAGTAACTTAACTAACATCCTTTAGATTTGAAACACACTTTAACACTCTTTTAATTCAAAATCTCTACACATATTACTTTGAGCATATTTTTCATCTCTTAAAGTATTTTAATCTTCAATTACTTGGTTAGAACATCTATTTGATCCTATTTTCTACGGTATATTACTTGTGTTGAATTTGATATTCTTAATCTTATTGTGTTTATTTTCATTGATTAGTAGATCATCGTCATATAGACACATTATGTCGAGACTTCTCGATTCATGTCTGTTGCATATATTATATATTAAATTATAGGCTTGGAATAACCAATCTACTTTAATAATTCACAATTTCATTTTGTTTTTTGCTATGAATCCATGAGATTGTTCAAACATAAACTTTCTCCTCATTAAAGCCGTTAAGAAACGCAGAGTTGACATCTAGTTGAACAATTTTATTTCAAAAAGTTAGTCATAACTACCACTAATATGGTTGTCTCAATTCTTACCACTGATGTAAAATTTTGTATAAAGTATAGGCCATTCTTTTGTTTTGCAATGGAACCATATTAAAGGTGTTTCACTTTTTAGACCCATTTAACTACAATAAGAATTTTCTTTGTTAGTAAGGAGACTATAATTCATGGTTGATATTTATTAGAAAGACCAACATCATTCTTCTAAACTCATCCATAATTTTTATGTGTGTCTGTGTGAGAGAGGGAGAGAGAGACTCTCACATAATTTTTGGTAAAGGTGCATGGTAAACTTCTTCTGAAGCAATTAAACAATTCTCAATGAGTTACTCATTATGCTTGGTAAATAGAAATTCATATATGTGTATACAAAAATATATTAAATTTGGGTAAAAATATATTTTAGTCTATGGCTTTTGAAATGACAGGCTGGCAGTGTCACGGATGATGAGTTGTTAGACAATGGCATCACAAGTAAGAGCCAAATATGATCCGTAATTTTGGGTTATCAGTGGAAATTTTTTTCATTCTTTACACTTTTGTTTTCAAGCTTTTGTGTTAGATTAAACCTTGGATTATCTTATGATAAAGGTGACTTAGTAACTGAATTGTCTTCATATAATAAAAAGTAAGGAAATTATCAGGCTTAAAATCATTTTCCCTTTAAATGGAAAGAAGTAAAAAAAACAACAATCTGTCGTAACCAATAAGTTTTATGACAAATATAGAAGAGAGAATAGCATATTCTGAAATACTTGAAATTTATTTACGAATTATGAATTTCATTTGTTCAATATAATCAAGAGTTTTAATTTATTTGTTGTATAGCCTTTATTTATCAACCATACATTTTAAAGTATTGTAGCAGATATAATTTAACATATAAAAAATTAATTTTTCTTTTCTTCAATCGCTGTCTTGTAAAAAATATATTTATATATTTTTTTAATACTATTTTAAGAAATTTAATCTGGCATTAATTTTTTATATATAGAAAAAAGGATCAAAACTCAATTCAGTAATAATGTTGGTACCTTTAACCTGTCATGATTAAAAAAGGAAATTATTTATGAATGTCTTAAAAAACGTTTGGAACATAAAGTTGTTCAAATATACAAAAAATGATTTTCTTTAATATTTAGGGAAAAAAATTATTATATTTAGAAAAAATTTGATTTTTTTTAAATAGTAGAAGTTATTCAAATTTAAAATTTTATATGTTAATTATTAAGAATTTAATATAATAAAAGTATCATAATTTTTCTAAAAGCTATATTTTAAAAATAAGTTTTATAACAATCTATTCAAAATAATCTCAAATTTAAATGAATTTTTAAAATTTTGATATTAAAAATAATTCATAGCAAAATTATGAAATGTATATGATAACTTTTAATAAAAGGTTATTTTAAGTGTTGAGGAAATAGATCATGTTTTCGTAAGCTGTCCTAGTGTTAGAATGGTGTGGCAGGAGGTTGGGAATTGGATGAGACTGTCCATTCCAGTTGTTTTAAACACAGTTGAAAATATGTTGGATTGGTTTCTAAAAGTAATCGGGAAATTACCAAAATCAAATGCTTGCTTGGTATGACTGACAACTTGTTGGAGCCTTTGGTGGACAAGAAATCAGGTTATACTCAACGATGTCGTGGTTGTCCCAAAAGAAGTCTCCCATAGAGTTCTACATTTTACTTGGTGGTGGTTGGATCTTTCTCCTTCAAAAAATCCTAAATACAACTATTATGAATGGTGCAAAAGTCCATTGGATTTCATGTAACAAGTTTTGTTTTTGAGTTTTTCGGGGTTGTTGTTGTTATGTATTGGTTAATACTATAGGAAGTTGTTGTACTATTTGTAAAAATTTAGGCTTGAGATCCCCCTAGGATCCATCTATAATATATTTTGATTATAAAAAAAAACCGTTGAATTATTCAAAGATATTTATTATGGAGCTCCGGCGATTCACACGAACACCATTGACCTAGCTTTTAACATGTAACTTCTTCATCT